CTCCACAGACTTTAGTAGAGTCATGGCTGCTTATCCCAGTGATGAATTTGGCTCTCTGCTGCTGCTCTAGGGGCAAGGAAAAGCAAGTAATGAAGATGGGTGGTTGGTGCTCAATCTCTATCTGATGCCTCTCTTCTGACTAACAGGTACCAACAAAAAATGCTCTCAGAACATACAGTAAAAAGCTTGCTACAGTGATCTACATCTGATCACTAATGGTTCATAGATTCAGCAGATTCACTGCTTTGTCCTTGGAGCAGTTTTATTTGCTTGGGGCTGTGGTGATTGGCCAATTGTTTTAGGCTCTCTTCACTGCAAAACCTCTGGGATACAGTATTTTTCAGCTTACCCCAAGTTTAACAGGCAGGGGAGCATACGACTTTTCAGCTTTGTCTATTGCGTTCCTACCTGTAATTGGATGGGCCGATCTAAAGGGGACACTGATTGTTGAGCTCGAAATTACATTTTTGAAAGCAGCTCTGTGTTACAGCATGTACACTGCTGGTGATTCTTGTGCCTGCTGTGCGATTCAAAGCTAGTGTTGCTTTAGCTAATGTCTACCTCGATCAGCCACGAGGCTCCAAAACCAGTTCTCCTCTATATGTATCTAATTCTCCTCTTATGTATATTTCTTTCCAGAATGAGATCTCGTTGGAATTGTGTGTCCATCATTAAGGGAAATGAGCCTGAAAGCTAGAACCATGTTTTTTCACTTGAATTTTTCATTAATACCTGGGTCTCTTGACTAGAAGCCATTGTGCTGGCTTCTCATAACAGTATAATTTAAGCAGTGAAATAAGTGCTAGTCTGTGTACATGAACAGAATGTCAGCAATTTAAATGTTACTACAGACAGTATTAGAATTCAGCTGAAAATAATTAACTCCCCTAACTTGGTTTCATGAGATACTGGAACTCATGTGGCCTTCGTATAATTCCAATATTGCTTATTGCTCAGGGATTGAATGTTTTACCCTCTGCTCACTGGTCCTCCAACTAAGCACCTTGGCAAACAATCCCACAACATATTCAAGTTACAGGTCAATGTTTCATATCAGTTGGAAACTTGTGTTCCAAAATTTCAGATGATTTAAAGCATTTGGGTTTTTTCCTGCTCTAGATTATTAGTCACTAAAATGGTGTCATCACTTCAGTGGGGCTGAGAGTATCCGTATGGTAAGAAGAATGACATGAAATCTCTGAGCTAGCTAGGCCTACAAACAAATTATTATGTAATTGGAAATTTGGGAACCCAGCTGTATATTAAAACTCAGCATAAGTTAGGTGTATGTTCAGGTAGCTCTTTTATGGAGGCGGAGCTAGGCCCAATTCTGTTAAAGTGTCAGTCCCTGTTATCTCCTAAAGCATTTGCTTCTTGCCAAATTGTTTACATGCCATGAGTCATAGGTGCAGACTTTCCTAATTCAGAGCCTGTTGAGTAAAGTGGAATTTCAAAATCAATTTAAGTCTTCATTCAGTTTTGCTTAAAACTTTCACCAAGGGGAGTAGTGGTGCTTTTTAAAATTTCATTCGTTAGCAGATTGGGTTTGGGTATCATTGTCTGGTTGTATCAAGTTACCACCAGATGTCCTTGCACACTCAAAACTATCTTGGTTGTGAATTAAGACATCAATGGAAGTTTTGAGTGCTCACAGAACACAGGTTGAGCACATAAATAATTTCTGCACCTTAGTGCCTCCTGACTGCTTGATATGGAAAAGCACAGTCTTCTGCCTAGGTAAACTGAGGAAGTAACTGGAAATGTAAAATGTATTATAATATTTTAGTGAGGAGTCCTAGCAGTCAAAGTTAAATGCACAAGTAAGGTAGGTTGTGACTAGAACACTTATTTCTCTGCCATGTTTATGGACCCAGTTTATTACTGTAAAAAAAAAAAATCTGATTAACTAGCAGTGGTGGACTGTTATGAGCTATTGTGAAAAGGCACCTTCACAGCTGTGGTGTTTGTTGTGCGTGTGTGTATATTTACTGACTTCATAACAACCCTATGTGAAGTTTTGGTAAAGCTTTCACAGCAAATTTGTAACCAATATGCATTTTTTACAATAGCTGTTTGGTCTATTTTGTTGTCCTGTTAGGTAAGTTTTGGGGGAAAAATTAGCATTGTAAAGAGTACAGAATATTCCACAGACATGCATAGTAATGGTAATCCAAATTTGATGAGTATGTCACTAAGAAATGTTTAAGTACATGTTTGCCTACACTAGTGCTGTTGGAACAAAATCTTCTTGCTTGACCAAAGTATTCTTGTTTATTCTGTGGCATGTTTTATATCTATCCAGCATACTATTTTGTTAGGTGTGAACTACACAGCATCCATTGTCCCTCTCTGTCACTGGGGCTCAAGAGTTAGCTGCCATTTTGATATGGTTAGATGGGAAGAAAAGCATTAATCGTGTTCCATTCTCCACTATTTAGTACACCTAGCAGCCTTTACACTAGCGAGTTCAGACTTTAGAAAATGGCATTAGTGAAGATAGAGGGCCCCCTCCTCTTATGCTACTGTTTTCAGCTAGGGCATATTTCAGGAGTTATGGGGAGACAGAACAAGCCCTATGCTAAGAAAGCTTAATTTGTTTCATTAAGCAGTATTAGCCAAGATGGTGACACTTCTGTCAAACTCTCATGCTCTTGTGGGGCACAGAAAGCATGTAAACCTGGTTCCACTTTGCAAAAGTTTTGTGCCTATGCATCTCTTTAAACAAATCCAGTTGTTTGCTTTTAAAACCAGATTATATGCAAATAGTCAAGAGCACTTTTCCCTATAAATAGGTTCCCAAGTAGAAAAAAAGTTTGAGCACAAGATTTTTTTTTAAAAGTCTGAATGTAAAACAATTGGTAAAGAACAATACTTCCCTGTAGTACAGCACTACAAGCAAAAATGTTTTTTTCACGCTATCCAAACCACAAGAAAGTTAACTGACTTTATAAAAGCAACTTGCTGCTGTTGTGTTTATTAATAGAGGTAAAGACATGTGTTTACATTATGTAGGATCATCTCCTCCTCTCGCCTTTTCCTATTTAAGGGACTGAAAACTCTGAATGTGGAGTCACAGAATTTCCAGCTGGTTATTCCCTTTGGAGAGTGAAGAAATTAGGTGGCTGGGTGAAAAGAGGCCATATGCCTAATGTGTCTGACCTCACTTGTCCCTGGAAGCATAGCTGTTCCAGAGGAGATTGGAGGGTGGGAGTGAGTTCTAACTACAGACTGGGGTGAGTATGAAAACTTACTCATTTCCCAGGCTATACAGAACAGCCAGCGATCCTGCTTGGAACATGGTGGAAGGGAGCTCCCTGGGGGAGTTGAAAACAACAACACAGCTGACACTCCTCCTTTTGGCTCAGATCTATGAAAAGGGGATGAGGATCTGGCCTGTAATTAGACAGTATTCCTTTAAAACTGGCCCTGCTTTTGGGAAGGAGTGGAAAATTGAGTTAGCCTCTCCTTACCCAGAAAAGCACTGGGTGAGTGGTCAAGATCTCAGAGCGTATTGACTGCTAAGTACAGGCAGGTTTACATGTGGAATGGAACACTAAAAAGGAAAAGTTGTGGAGAGTAACAAAGAAAAGTTAGGGAAAACAGCACGTTTTAAATATTGGAAGATACTCCTGGGTCTAGAAGGGTCAGGAATGGCAGTCTCATGGCAGAACCCCAACCCCAACACATACTTATTTTTCTATTTACGTGGGAAAACAAAACGTCTACTTATAACAATCCCTGTGAGGAGACTTGAAATTGTACATGGTCTTTGAGTCTACAGTTTTACTAAGTGTATACTTTTAAATAGTGTGTCAGTGGGAAGGTTCTATCTATGGTGACAAATGTTTATATTTCTTATGGCTGCCTTGTAAAAATTTAAAAAAAAACTGTACAATAATGAATTTCTTAACATATTATGAACTAAGGAGTAAGATTTTTACAACTGGTCTAGATTTTGATGTGAGCTGGTTTTTAAAATCTTATAAAAAGCTAGTCACTTAAATAAAAACCTTCTTTGCCTTTAAGTGGACAGCTTTGTGGGTTTTTCTTTACATTGGTGTGGGAAAGCTCCCCGGCCATTATACACCTGATCAACCTGTTCAGAATGGGTACAATTCCAAGACCTACCAAATGGCACGTTAGTTTTGAGCAGCTGTATCTACCATGCACTTAGTCAAAATAGAGAACTTTAGATCCTCACCTGCTGTAAGGCAGCATTGCCAGCAGAGCTTCAAGCAGAAAAAAGGAGATGGGCAGGATTTTTCCAAAATGCGGGTTCTTTGTCCCTTAGCTACACACCCCGGGCAGTCCCCTTGATTTTAATTAATTAGTCAAAACCTATAATAGATACAAATACTTCGTGTGCACTGAGAAAGAAATGGCAAAAATAAACATTTCTCCCACTTACAAGGTGAATGGTAATTGGGGGTTGAGGTTTTTCTTAAACGGGCAGTGGCAGGGAGTCTGAAAATAACATTCAACAACAAGACATCACTATTATGAAAAGTCTATTTTGTCAAGGATCAGTACATACAAGTAAAACTTCAAATAAAAGCTCTCCTCTGGCTTAAAACAATAAGCCTTATCTACTTTTTAAATCCAAATAGGAAGGGGTTCCAGCCTAGTGTTACAAAATTTTACCTTTTAAACAGTCCGGTTTGTCAACAGGCAAAAAAAAAAAAAACTCAATTTAAATATAGATGGGGCAGCATTCAGGCAGGATTGCTTACAAAATTTGGACTTCGATACCACTAAAATATTTTAGGGAGAATGAAGCAGGGCAATATTGTAGCCAATAGTAAGTGGCAACAGAATTCATATAAACAGCCATAAAGATTAAACCTTCTAAATGTCTATTTTGTAGTGGCACACTGATTCAGATTGCTTTAAAGACAACAAACACCCCTTTGTTTACTTATTCTCTTTAGAAAAAAGCTACAGCTCAAGGAACAGCATTGGCGCTGAGTTCTAGAAGTTTATGGAAAACAGGACTCCTTCGCTTTGTTGAAATGTTAGAGAATTAACATTTTGCTAAACTAAGATTACCTCTATTATAGAGCCTGACATTCTTATTTTGATATAAAAATAATGTTAGCATAAAAAGCTATTAAACACTTAACTAGTGCCAATGCAAAAAAATATTATAATGTTAAGCAACAAGTGTTACTTCCAACTTTAGTATATTAACTGTTAGTGTCTTCAGTTGTGTGTACATGTTCCAAGAGCAATATTTACCTCACTGTTGAGATGTCTTTAGTAGCATGAAAGATAAATGAAGCCCCAACTGTTAGCAGTTCAAAATGAAACTAATTAAAATGGAATAGATACATTAGTTAGTCGAACCCTGTGAACTGTGGGGGGGAGGGGGTGTCACACATTCTGACTTCAATCACCCAGGGTTTATCTACACAGGCACCTTCCGGAGAGCTAATCTGAATAAACCAAAGGCATGGATTAGTTAAACAGTGTTAAATTCCTGTGTTGACACGCTCATTCAGAATTAAAGTTGCCTTGATTCAATTTATCTTAATTCACTTTGGCAGTAATTTCTTTAACTCCAGTGTCACTCTGAAGTAACTACAGAATTCCATGATTTTTAGTTACCCCCCATGTCAACCCACAGTAACTGAAATCACAGCCGGACACCATTTTGTAGACTATGGTTTTGGCACACAGCATAAAGTCTTCAGAAGCACTTAAGGCCACTAAATCCCATTGAAATTCAATGAAATTCATGTACTTTGGAAAAGCATAGGCATTGGTGCTTTTTTAGTTTCCAAAGCTCTGTAGAAACTTAAAGTCCTCAACATCTCATGAGGGAGGTATAGGAAGCAAGTATCCCCAATGTCACAGATCAGGAGTCAGACACTGATACTATTATCTTTCCTTAAAATCATTCAGTAGTAGTTAGCTCAGACCTAGTTCAATACACTGGACCATGCCTGTCCCATTTGAAAGTGCTGGTTAAGTGAGTTCAGTTTACTGTTCCATTGCTGGGCAATACCATGGGGGTTGTCATGTGATGTACTTTAATATCCCTGCACCATTGGCAGGAGAAATCCATGGAAAGCTAGACCTGAGCTGAATTGAAAGGTAGTATTCTAAAAATGGTTAATGGCTTATTCAAAGCACAGTCACTTAAATCCAAACAGACAATACACCCCTTCAACTCCCATAGATAGTTAATCCTTCATTTGCTCACACATTGTTAATACTGTTTAAAGCCATGTCAGTCCAAGTGCCAACTGCATGCTGCAGCCTCCTCGCACGCCGTCTGAAAGCAGATTGGGAGAGTTTCCGAGACCGATGCACAGATCGCAAGTTTTGTGCCATTAGATGCTGATAATTGGATATGGCTTGTTCTCTGCAAAGAATAAAGGAGTGTAATTAATACAACAGAGTAATGGGCCAGGTTAAGTAATTGGTTGTTCAGTATACACAAGCTGCTGGAAAGTGGGCAGAAGTCAGGAAACAGCGTGCCCGGTATATTGAGCAGATTTTATGAAGGCCATTAAAAAAAATTCTCACTTCAGTCATGTTTTATCTGCTATGATGTGTGGTCAGCAATAGCAGCAGACAGATTAAGCAGCATGATAGATAAGGGGAAAAACACATTAATGGGGATGGTCTAATCTTGCTTAAATGTTAAACATATGAATAAGTGCGTACGGTAGCTTTTACCTCAGTGCTTGTTTTGTGAAGGGTGAGGGAAAGTTTAAAAACAACAAAATAGCCATTGTCTATGTAAGTTTATTTGCACAGGGCCTAATTGGAGGAAAAACTCCAGACTCCTCCTCATGGCTAGTAGAGATCAGAAGGTAGAATTAGTCTCTACCTTAGAGTTGCTAAGTATGGTACCCCCTTACCAACATTAAGTTGTAAAAGTCATGGGCTTTTCCAACAGAAATAGAGAAGATCTTCAAACCAGGAAGTGAAAGTGCATAAATATGCAGTAAAGTGAAGTGAATTGCTAGCATGCATTACCATTGGAAGTAACATGCTGAATCAACTTGTCATTTAGTCGTTACAGTCCCCCCCCACACACACTTTCTACCATGCGACACTACAGGCATTCATGCCCCAGTGTGTTTGCGTATTTGTTCCTAATTAAAACACCTGCAGCAACTCACACTACCCCTTTCAATAAAAAAATTCCAGCATACCAACCTTCAACACAATGGTGTAAACATTTAAAGATGACACAGTGCAGCTTCAAGTGAAGATAAATGCTTAAATTAGGGAATTCCCATAGCAAATCTGTTAATGGGAAGGTTCGGAGAAGTGATGCTGAAGACATAATGTTCAGAAATTTACAGTGGAGAACCTTGCTTGTTCCAGAGCCACTTATATGCAATTGCGGTATTTAAACACCAGGTAGAAAGATGTCAACTGCTGCTATTGACACAGCAACTTCTTAACAGTTAGACATTAAAAATGGTAAAACACACACACACACACACACACACACACACACACACACACACAAAATTAGGCAAGTCAGAGTAACACTTTTCTGACATGCTTTACATTGTTAGTGAGTAACCAGTGAGAACTGAAGTGACAAAACATTAGTACCAGATGTTTTCTGGTCTGGGGTGAGAAAAACAGCTATTTGCACAGAAGTCAAACTATTGTTTCAGTGTGAACCCACACGGGGCTCAGTGACCTAGCTTCAGCTGGTGGATGATGGGTTTGATGGCTGCACCGCATTACAACTACAGCTAAGAGAGGCACGCACAGCACTGGTGACTTTGAGAAAACAGCCTGTGGTTCTGTACATTAGTAAGTAAGTTTGTTTTTTTTAAGGTGCTCAATAAAGTTTTGTATGTACTTGTTCCCTTGAAAACAGCCGTTTTTCTCCATTCAGTCACATGCAAGTGAAGTAAGTATATTCAAAGCAAGCTTAAGAACAACAACTTTACCTGGTTGGTACTATCCTCAGTTACGAATGAGAGAAACTGTCATATCACTAACAGATGGAAGAATGAATATTAGGAATGAGGCTTTAGTGAACTTGAAATGGTTACAATCATTTAATGGACACACGGCTCTTTCAGGATTTTGACCACTTGTGTCCACACCTGATCAGCTGAAAATGTGACCCATATGAAAAAATATGATTGGGGTAGAGAGAAATAGTTGGAATTGTGCAGAATTTCCACACGTCTTTCTGAGGCAAGTTATCTGGAACGGTGGTTCTCAACCAGGAGGCCACAAGCAGCTTTCCGGGGGTCCACCAAGCATGGCTGGCATTAGACTTGCTAGAGCCCAGGGCAGAAAGCCGGGGCCCCAAGCCCCACCACCCGGGCCAAAGCCTGAGCAACTTAGCTTTGCAAGACCCCCTGGGCAATTGCCCTGCTTGCTACTCCCTAAAACTGGCCCTGGCTTTTATATGCAGAAAACCAGCTATGGCACAGGTGGGCCATGGAGGTTTGTTTTTTTTTTTTTTTAGCATGGGGGATGGGGAGGGCACAAAGAAAAAGGCTGAGAACCCTTGATCTAGAAGATATCTAGTAATAAGCTACATCCAGATGCTTTTGTTATCTGCAAGACAGGGCCCTGTAGTCTAGATATAGTCCCCTGATGATGCAGAATTTGTAACCAGATCCAAGTAGAATTAAGCTGCAAGATTTAGGCTTAATGATAAGTGTTCTTTAAGAAGAACTTGAGAAGGTTTAGGAGATTACTGTGGCATCAGACTTTTTAATTTGAAAACTCTTACCACACTGCACTTTGAAGATGCTCATTCTAAATGAGGTAACTATTACAAAAACACAGCAATCTCCCACATTTCAAAAGCTGCTTAAGCTAGAATCACTGTGCAAGAATTTTAGTTCCTCTTAGAAAAGAGAGGCTCCCACATCAAGATTTTTTTTTACTGGGGATGGACAACACCAACACAATAAAACTTTCTTGTCTTGTTACCATTTTGATGATCCCTGTGAAACAAATTTGACCGGCAACACTTCAGGCCTTTCAACCTGAAATCTAGTTAATTTCAAAGTGAGTTAGGAACAGCTTCAGTGAATACACCTGCCCCCAAGTCACCCTGCCACTAAGTTATTTTCCTTTTTTGATAGGGTTTTTCTTTCCCACAATTGTGTATGGAAGACCTTCAACTAGAAGGGAAGATTGTGATAATGACTATACATGCGGTTGTCAAATGCACAAGCCAAACTAATCCTAGGTGTTACTTGGATCTGAATCAAGTTTTCAGGCAACATTCAAAGAATCTTATTGAAATGAAAGTCAAGTGCCTATACAATGAGATTCTAAGAAGCCTCTATTGGCCCCATTCTGGGCTATTAACCCACCTAGAACTGCTGCAAGGAGCTACCAGGCAAGATACAGTATTGGAGGCTGAGTGTGGTGGGGAGGATTCGGATTTTACAGCAAGCAGCAGGTAATCAAGGAGAATGTTTGTTACAGGCTTCGGTGGAGCTGCAAGCCAGTCTGCAGATGTCTAACTATGCAGTGTCTTAAAGCAGAGAGGCTGCACTACAGTTAAGGCATTTTTATTGCTCTCACTCATCTTGATTACGAGCTGCGAGGGATCATTTAATTTATATTTAGCAGTATCATTGACTCAGGATTGGAGAGGTGAATCTTTGGTGATACCATCCTCTGCTGCACAGGCAGCATTAGAGAGGAGAAATAAACATCTCCACCGATCGCAATACTGCTTACCTCTCCTCTCTCACAATGACATCATCGAACACCTGAGAAAGACGTTTCAGCCGGCGAATTCCCATAGAGACTGATTCTAACTCGCAGTCAAACTCTCTGACGGGAGAAAGCAGCATGCAATTAGAGGATTCAAATGTTACATAGGTGATCTAGCCCAGCCCCCTACCACTGCAGAAGTATCTACAGTATATACCCTAGTGCTCCTTCTGGTCAAATTTTAAGCCTCTAGCCACAGGATTCTATCACTGCCACAGCTCCCCATCCCAATGTTCAGCCTTAATCGTGCCTTAACTCCAGTCACATCGCATCTAGAAAAGATGGTCTCATAGCTAAGGCACTGGACTGGGATCCAGGAGGCATGCGTGGAACTCCCAACTGTGTCTTCACCTGATACCTTGGGCAAGGCACAATCTCGGCGCTTCATGAAATACTTTTTCTCCCCACAACTCTTTGTCCACTCTCCAGGGCAGGGGGCCATCTTTCTGTTTGTACAGCACCTAGCATCACAGGAGGCCCGGTCATGGGCCAAGACCCTAGATACCACCACAATACAAATAAATAATTCTGGGAAATGCAGAGCAGAGTAGGACGAATCGATACCCAAGTGATTTATCAAACAAACAGCATCAATGAAGAATTTAGACGGTTAACATTTCTTTAACTCAAGCCAGACTGGAGCTGGCATAATTACGTGATGTAAACTTAATACCACCCTCCCACTGGAGGGGGATGGTGCAAGAGACCTCACTGGTCTGTCATCATGCAAAATTAAGTTTCCACGGCCTAGTTTTATGCCATACACACACTCTCTCTGTAAATAGGTGCACGTAACAACTTTATTACCTTCCTAACCATTATAACAGCACATTGTTTCAGTGGGAAAGATTAGTAGTGCTCTGCTGCTGTCTCTCAGGTAGCCAGACACTCTAGTCACAATAATAAAACAGCAATAGGAATTACAAATGATTGCAGCTTGCCTCTTTCTGCTGGCAGGCATAGGTGATGAATATGGGCTCTTTAGAGCTGCTGCTCTCCTTGATCTCCGGAGAGGGACAGCTTCTTTTCCAAGCCAGTAAGAGAAACTCCTCCATTCTTTCCCCACCAAGCTCTTTGCAGATCTGGATGAAAGGGAGGCTCTCCTGCTGGACCCGGGGGTGCAAGTGGGACCAGACAATGGGGTGGGCATTGTGGCCAGCCTATTCTTCCGACTAGGAGTTCGAGGTGAAGTGCTTCTCTTCTTGGCAGAGCAAGTGATGCCACTTCTCCTTGCAGGGGCTTTAGCTGGAGAGATGATTAGAGATTGCGTGCGGTTTTGGCAGGACTTCTGTATTTTCTGCAAGGCAGACATATCTGGGATCATGAACTGCGGTCTACAATATGCCAGCTCAACAAAATCCCAGCATGTGAACGATCGCTCTCAACCCCAGCTACAATTCTTACAGCCAGACTTAGACTGGGCGGATGCACGTCTGTCATTGCTGCTAAAGCCTCTTCCCTCGGATCGCACTGAAATAGAGCAGCGTGCTTCATTTGATCCATTAGTCTTTGGGATTGATCCTGCTCCCACAGGAGCCCTGGACAAAGTTCTCATTGATTTCATGTGGAGCAGGATCCCCCCGGCCTTTAGAACCTGTTAAAGTGCCTTTAAACTGAAGGCCTTTGTTTAGAGAAAGAAGAGCAGCACAAAAGCTTCCCTTTGCTGCCCTGCTAACATACCTCAACCTGCAGGGCTGTCCCCTGGGCTTCGAGTCTACTTGCAAACTCGAAGTCATAGCAGGTTGTGCTCCTGGCTAGCAGCATTTCCTAAAATAGCTTGTGCAACCTAGCATAGGATGCATGAAAAATTCAGCACAACTCCCCATGGGTACAACTCCAATATTGCTGGTCCCATGAGACAAGTGGTCAAGCCTGATTCGGCAGCCTTTACACAAGCAACAACTCCTTGCTGCCAGTGCTTGGCATTTCATCTGCAAAATAAGCTTAGAGTTAGCAGGAAGCACTTATTCCAAGTTCTTCCCCCTATGTGCATGCCAAACAATTCATAGTTAGCAAGAATACCAAGGTCATGCCATCTGTTTAACATATGGGGCTAGTGTTTTGCTATTTCTAAATCTATTCCCAGGATTTCCACTGCTTCTCTTTGCCTCAGTGAATTTAAAAGGGTGCAAAGACTATGTTGCAAGAGAGATGCTGGAGGAGTCTCCTCGCTCTAGGTCACATGGATATAAAGAACAGTGACTTTGCAGATCAAGGACTAAATTCCAGCAGGATCTTCAGGAATGGTATTTGATATTTTCCCTCCCCACTCCAAACTAGAGCCCTGAAACCTGACCTGAACCCAAAGGGACCCGACTACACATGTCCGGGTCAGGTCAGAAAACAACCTAAGACTCTCAGCGTCAAGTCTGCTCGTAGGTAGCTGCGTGTCCTGTTCCCATTGACTGCCGCTGCCTCAGCACTGTGTGCTGCGGAGCCAGGTGCTGAGGAGTTGCAGGGCCCTTCACTCTGAGCACAGAGTGCAACAAGGCCGTGGCGGCCGGCAGGAGAGGGGCACTGCCCCGCTGACCCAACAGGCAGGAGGCAGACTGAGCATGAAGCCCCCACCAGGCTGAGCTCCAAGGATGAGGCACTGACGTACGTTGATGGTTGGGTCTGAAAACGACGCGACACTTGGACTTGGGTCAGCAATTGGCTAACCGGTTTTAGATCAGGCTTTAAAAATTAGACCTCTTCATGTGCAGTCTAGTTAAGGCTGTACATTTTTAATAGCCCTGATCTTTAGGAGTTTCCATAAGGTATGTCTTTGTGAACCCAGTCAGTCCATATTCAGACTATATATAAAAGTGGGTTATATTCTACTGATTTCATAGAATCATAGAATATCAGGTTTGGAAGGGACCTCAGGAGGTCATCTAGTCCAATCCCCATCTCCTCCCCCTGGCTCCAAATACAGTATAATTAAAGTCCCACATTTCTCTCACCCCTGAGCTCTAAGGTTTCCATAAAGCACGTTCTTTGAGAGCCCAGAAAATCCATTAGTTTATCAGGTCTCCTTCATTTACTATTTTTAAAGTGTCTCTCTCAATATGTCCCACGTAATGCAGTCTGGGATAGGGAAAGCGGTTTTACAATTGCTGGAGATTTTGCTCAAAACAACATGAGCAAGGACTTTTTTTTTTGCACATTCTTCCTACATGTCACTTTCCCTTGTTTGTGCTGCTCTTCTTTCTCTATGGCAACCAGCCAGCTATATATTATAAAGCATGTACTAGTTATAAAATACAGATACTATGTCCAGCATTAAAGCACTTTGCTATCTACGGCTGAAGTGTGCTGTATAAAAGAGCTAGGTATTATTAGTCCTGAAACAGGACACCAAGCTATGAACAGAACTGCCATCCATAATACATTACAAGGATCATTACCTGGGACACTGTTCCAAAGGCATTTTTTGCTGTTCTTGTGATAGCCCGGAAGGTTTGTCGCTTCTCTTTCGCTTCCAGACTTTCCCAAGTTGGATTCTCACTGAGGTTCATCTCCACTTGCTTTAAGGGCATTCGCTTTCTCAGAGACATGCGGAGGGTATTGAGAGAGCTTGAAGAAGGCTTCTTTCTAAATTTGTCAGGCACTGGGCTCTCATTTTCAAAGTCAGCCAGTAGCTGGTGGCTCCTCCAGCCAACTGTAGCCCCGACACTTTGGAACACAGATGCCATCACTCTTCGCTTCTTGGAGTAGTCTTGGTTCAAAGGGGATCAGACAAAGCTGTGAAAAATAATGCACCAAATGAGAACACAGCCCCAACACAAATCAATCCAGATGATAAAGGATAAACATACTGCACAGCACATTCAACAGGTTGTTTGAAAGGACCCACCCTCATTTCCCAAAACTCCTCCAAAACATGAGACCTGCAAAAAGTACCAGGCTGAGCATCTTTGGTTTAACAGGAAACGCTGTCCATTTCTGTAACTACCTATGTTTTTTGAGAAAGAAAGATGTAAACAGGAACTTTCCCCCAGGTGTTCTGTACAAGACTGCAATTGGAGGAGGAAACTGGTTAAAGCTCTGACAGCCAATAGAAGTGATTCATTACTAGTCAAATAGTACTTTGGAATCTTCACTGAATAGAAATAGAAGCCCAGTCTTTCACACCACTCTGGATTTTACATTTCCCCCCACAGGCCCGTTATCCCTCTACTTCCCACTGCCAGCTACTGCCATCAGCCCCGGTGAATCCTAAGACCAAAGCTTACTATACAAGACTAAAGATATGAATACCTTGTAATGGCAAGAGTTTGTTATGTCCGTCATATTGAGATTATGTCCTAAATTTGGAACTTGGCTAATTAGATCACTCCCTTTTGAGATACCAGCTGAAGTCACAACTGCAGTAGCGTGCGCACACAATGGATAGGGAATGGTGTTACCAGCAAAAGAGATCTGCTATAGGTTACAGTTAACAATGCATTCCTGATTTCTATACAGTAGCTTGCTCAAAATTATTTGGGAAATCATCTTTAAAATTACTTTCACTCTTGCTAATAAGCAAACCACCCAGGGTGAATTAATGAACTGTGTCAATTCATAAGCACACTGTTTAGAAAAGCAAGGCGATTGCATCCAAATGTGATCCGAGATAAAACTGAACTAGCTTTCTCAACACCTCACTGCATATTAATAAATGCACTGTAGTGCGTAAGCAAATGATGTCTTAATGCAGGAGTTCTCCAGTTTTTAAAAGCCATGCTGCACATCTTAGTAAAGAGTTTCTTGTAGATACCTTCCCACCCATACACAGTCTCCTGGACCCCTCCCCCTCCAGCTAACATGCCCTCATCAACCGCAGCACTTGGTTACGTGAAACAGGAATAGTAGAAAAGCATTTAAATATATTTTTAGCTTCTTTAAATGCAGTTATGCACATGGGAATGATGATGTACCAGCACCATGTGATCAATCAACTCTCCAGAAACCTGTTTGATAACCCGTGCCTTACTTAGAGACCTCACTTCAGCAAGCCATTAAATCTTTGCTGAGAAGTGGTGAGAGACCAATCTGTTGTGTGCATTCACACAGTGGAGCGCGGCATGAAGATGAGCGAAGTGCAGACCAAAGGGCCTCTCCTATTATATTCTGATTCTCAAGAGTCAATGTCCCAAAGGGTGTTGCATGTTATGTTCTTTGCACAGTAGCTGGAGTGTGCGGCAAGTTCAATTATAAACTGCTACTAACAAAAAGTGTTTTCAGCTTCTAAAATGTGCAGTTTCTGGGTGCTAAAGACAATAATAGACAGTTTCAAGTCAATTGATAAAATTTAACTTTGATTTTCCCTGACAGTAGCTTTATATACCTCTGTTAAGTTCCTGACCTACTCTCTTCCAGGATACACACTTCTGTACCCAGTGCTGTTTAATACAGCTGTGGTCCTGTGGATCAATCCTTCTGTTCTTCTTCACTGAGTGTCTTGCAACAAACACCAGAAGCGTAGTGAATATAAGCAGTGCAAATGCCCATCTCTGACATCTTTTTACTGGGGTTCTCCTACCATATACGGTCACCACTGGATGTGGGCAACAAATAACCCCACAGCTGCATCCTCTGCGCTCAGACACGTTCAGTCATTTACAGTAGTGTCCAAAAAAAAAAAAAAAAAAAAAAATTCTCAGAGGCCCACTGTCACACAGTTTAAGGCCAAAAGGGACCAGCAGTTTATCTAGTCTGATCGCCTGTGTATCACAGGCCACTGGCACCCACCCATTAAACCCAACAACTGAAATTAGACCAAAGTATGACAACCTGAGACTAGATTTATGCCACAGGGACCTAGGGGCACCAGTGTCTGAGGCCCCCACCCCAGTGTCATGAAAGGCAAAAAATAAAAAAAATCCTGAGGTCACTGCCAATCTGACCTGAGAATTCCTTCGCGGCCCCAAATCCGGAGATTGGTTAAATCCTGAGCATGTAAGCAAGAACCAGACAGCCAAGCACCTGAGAGAGAGAGAGAGAGAGAATGCTCAGTGGCACCTCAGAGCCTTGTCCAGTGTCCTATCTCTAGCTGTGGCCATCTCCGAGGCTTCAGAGGAAGTAGATCAAAACCCACTCATCCATAATACATCATCTGGGGGATGGGCGGGGTAGAGAAGGAGAGAATCCCGTCCTGACTCCTGCAGGTTGCTGGCTAAAACCCTAGTCCCAAAAACCCATCCTTGAGGAACTCCATGACTAATCTCTCTCTAGTCCAATTCACCTTTCACCAAAAACCTACAGCTTTCTTCCCTTTAGCCAGTTCCTGATCCACCTTAGAGTTTTTGTACCGATCCCCGATAGTATCTACTTTAACTAATTATTTCTCATGTGGTACTGTGTCAAATGCTTTACTGAAGTCCAAGTGTATTAAATCTACTGCACTTTCCTTATCTTTAAAAAAAAAAAAAAAAAAACATCAATTAAAAAAAAAAAAAAAAAAAAAAAAAAAAAAAACAAAAAAAAACAGCAACTATTTTCTCAAAGAAGGAAATCAAGTTAGTCTGGCATGATCTACCTCTGGTTAACCCATGTTACATTACACCATTTACAGTAGAGCTTCAGAATTACAAACACCAGTTACAAACTGACAGGTCAACCATACACCTCACTTGGAACTGGAAGTATGCAAACAGGCAGCAGCAGAGACAAAACAAAACAAAAACAAAAAACAAAACAAACAAACAAAACCAGCAGGAAATACAGTGTTAAACTACTAAAAAAATTAAGGGAAAGTTTAAAAAAAGATTTGACAAGGTAAGGAAACCGTTTCTGTGCTTGTTTCTTTTAAATTAAGATGGTTAAAAGCAGCATTTTTCTTTTGCACAGTAAAGTTTCAAAGCTGTATTAAGTCAATGTTCAGTTGTAAACTTTTGAAAGAACAACCATAATGTTTTGTTCAGAGTTACAAACATTTCAGAGTTATGAACAACATCCACTCCCGAGGAGTTTTTAACTTTGAGGTTCTACAGGACCTCCATGAACGCCCTCACAATTTGTTCTAGAGCAGTGGTTCTCAAACTTTTGTACTGGTGACCCCTTTCACATAGCAAGCCTCTGAGCGCGACCCCCCCACCTAATAAATTAAAACCACCTTTTTATATATTTAACACCACTATAAATGCTGGAGGCAAAGCAGAGTTTAGGGTGGAGGCTGACAGCTCACAACCCCCCATGTAATAGCCTCGCAACCCCTTGAGGGGTCCCAACCACCAGTTTGAGAACCCCTGTTCTAGACCCTTTGTACACACACACACACACACCCTGGAAGAGCTCGCAATAGAAGACCAAAAGCAGACAGGGCAAGTAATCTGTAATGAACTCTCAGATTACACCACCACTTCCTAGCTTTTATATAGCACTTTGATATCTACAGCTAAAAGGTAGGTCTGAACCATTATTTCACATTTGATAGATAGGGAAACTGAGGCACAGAGCAGGACATCACCCACAGTCATCCAGAGGCAGGAACAGAACCCAGCATAGGTGCTAGAACGGGTCGGCAACCTTTCAGAAGTGGGGTGCCGAGTCTTCATTTATTCACTCTAATTTAAGGTTGTGCGTGCCAGTCATACATTTTAACGTTTTTAGAAGGTCTCTCTCTATAAGTCTATAATATAGAACTAAACTATTGTTGTATGTAAAGTAAATAAGGTTTTAAAAATGTTTAAGCAGCTTCATTTAAAATTAAATTAAAATGCAGAGCCCCCCGGACCGGTGGCCAGGACCCGGGCAGTGTGAGTGCCACTGAAAATCAGCTCGCGTGTCGCCTTCGGCGCACGTGCCATAGGTTGCCTACCTCTGTGCTAGAACAAGGGGTGCTGCCGCACCCCCTGGTTTGACGTGGTTTCCATCATACACAGGGTTCACAGTTTGGTTCAGTGGCGCTCAGCGCCCCCACTACACACGTTGTTCTGGATCGGAGCTGGCCTGAGCCCCAGGCCAGTCCACACGAGCAGGGGTCAGGGGATGGCTGGCAGAGTCAGGGTTCTGCCTGTTAGCAGGGACGATGGCGGTGGGGCAGGACCGGGGGAAGCCAGGGATGGGGATGCTGGCAGGGGGAGCAAACAGCTCCCCAGCAAAACCCCAGCAGCCAGGGCACAATGCAGAGGCTGAGGGCCTGGCTGGGGCCCAGGGGGGCCAGGCCCCCCACCCCACCCCACCCTTGGCCATGGGTGAGGCGGCGGCTGCTTCCCAGCCCTTTGTTCCTGGAGAGCCCCGGGCTTGCAACACTGTAGCGGCTTCAGCTTCCTCCCCCCGGTAACCCCGGCGGTCCCCGAGCCGCCGCCGCAGGGAAGGGTCCCCCCACCCAAGGCTGCCCCCTTGCACCAGACTCACCCACCGCTCCCAGCCCGGCCCCGCTTGCACCGGCTGCTGCCCGGTTAATCTTCAATCGCCTTCGGATTTAAATTGCGCGCTGGTTCCTTCCTCCTCTAGGATTGGCTCGCTCCTGTCTCCTCCCGGGCTGCTCTCCCCTCAAGGGGGGGGGGGACACCCCCAGCGCTGGCCCACCCCCTGAAGAGGCGGGAGAACATATAACCCAGGCGATAGGCTGCAGCTTGCAAGGGCGGAGGGGGGCTGGGATGGGGACGTGCAGCCCTGGCTGTGGAGCACTAGCTCACCCAGCCACCCCCTGCCTGGAACCAGTCCGGGCGGGTTTGCATGTGCAAGCCTTGCCGTTTGGCTTGCCAGAGGGGACGAGAACAAGATGGGGCTGTTTTGTGCCATGGCCTGGAAACCTCCTCCCCACTCACTGTTTAATACAGCGGTTCTCAAACTTTTGTACTGGTGACCGCTTTCATATAGCAAGCCTCTGAGTGTGACCCCCCCTTATAAATTTAAAAACACTTTAATATATTTAACACTATTATAAATGCTGGAGGCAAATCCGGGTTTGGGGTGGAGGCTGTCAGCTCGTGACCTCCCCCCGTAATAACCTCATGACCCCCTGAGGGGTCCCAACCCCCAGTTTGAGAACCACTGGAAGGGCCAAGTCTTGCAAGTAAAAAGAGAGGAAAACGTACGCGTGTGTGAGAGAGAGAGCGAGAGAGAAACACCCCCTCAGGTTTCCCATCCAGGCTGTTGGTGTGGCTTCCTCATGCTGGATCTTTGTAAGAGACAAGAGGAACATTGGCTCCTTGGCAGATTGTATACTATGGCAGGGTGGCATATTGCCTGCTTGCACCTGATCCAACTGAGTGGGGAATGGCATGTGTGCTTTTCAAATAGCACTAGCCACTATTGATCCCATGTGCACCCGCTCTTGTCCAGCTTTGTAGCTCAAAACACTGGTTAACAGATGGATTCCCCCATTGTACCGACACAAGTTCCCATTATCTGCAGGGTCCAGTTATGAATAATTAAAGACAGCCATGAACTGTTACAGTCTGCCTTCTGCACCTCGCCTATTCAGAGCAGAACCAGAACACTTACATTTTCTATACATCTGTCCCTAAACCTCAGACTAGCAATTGGGTGGTGGTGGGGAAATAGACATATTTTGAACAAAAGCCAGCATAAATACTCAGGTCCTAAATGCAGGGATCATGACATTCCTCCCCTTTATAAGAGCAGGGGATTACTAACACCAGTGTCCTAACCAAACTCCAGCTTAGCTTGTTATACTTCATACTTAAACTCCCACTGCTCTTTCAATTAGGAAAAATGTTCTTTTCTTACCCATAAAATGGAGCCAACCCACTGAATCGATATAAAACAAAAAGAAGCTGTCTCTTACCAGGATAGACTTTTCTCTAGAAGACCACGCGTAGCATTAACCACCTTTCACAGAGCAGCTAAGTCCTTACTCAAGCTACAAACACTGCAACACTCATATGACTAGACTACTACTAGGGGAAAAGAGTTTCCTTCATAGCTTGCACAAGACTTCCTAATTAGGCCACCAGCTCCCCTCTCATTAGCCACCCTTCTACACCTGCAGAAGACTTGAACAGTGAATTAACTCTTTGCCTGCTGGCCCCTCTGCACCTTGTCATATATTTTGTGCAGCATTGCTGTGCCCTGTTAAATAACTGCTCTGTTTCACCCCAAAGGAAGCTATGTTTTAGGGATGGATGATGTGATTGCCGTTTGCAGCTTGCAAAGCACACTGGTATCCATCAGGCTGAAAGGTGTTTGTATAATGTATAAGACCACAGCCATCTTCATCTGCCCCTTCCCCAAACCTCCTCTATGCAGAGATTTGTCATGTTGCAGACCAGAGTTGCATCTGACCTGTGCTTGAGATACGAGGGAGGTGGGGTGGCATTTACCTGCATTCTGGGCTGTTTGAGATGGTGCAAGGCAGGGGGACAGGATGGGAGCAACAGTTACAGAAATCATGCAGTGAGCCACAAACAACAATTGCAGCAACTGAGTTGCAGATGTGTGAGGATGCTGTAGCTTTTTAGCAATCTAAAACCACAGCTGTGGTTTGGTGGTTGACAGTGACCTAACCCAGTGGTAGGTTTATGCACACTTTGAATAATAAAGTAACCACAACTTAACCACAGGCAGCACCTCTGGGCCAACTCAAGTATTTGGCTCTAAGACGGACGCACAAGCTGGGACCCTGAGGGAGTTAGGCAAATAGATCCCACTGCAATTCAGTGGGGGTTGGGTGCCAAACTACCTTAGGTTGCCTTTTGAAACCCCCAGCCACAGTTGTTATTGCTAACACCCTGGGCCAAATCCTGTATCTCTTCCTCAGAGAGCACTCTCATTGGCTTCGTAACAGCTTTGTATGAGTAAGAACAGCTGGATTTGATGTTCAAAATGAGTTTTAATCCATGTGGCTATTTAACATTATAATGAACAGACGGGAGAAAACATCTCATTTTAACATCATCTTCCACTACTGGCAAGGCTTTGAATCAAAATCATATACAGTACCGTATGTGCTGTATATCTGGGCTTAATGCACAGAAAACGCAGGTGCAGAGAATC